AGATGTGTGATTTTCTTCGCCTCTTGGCCCTGCCTTGCACTGGCAATGCTGGTCCTTGTTACCGGCAAGCCCAGGCGTCCCCGCAAACCAACTCCCAGCTGCCTGCCTCCGCCGCTGGCTCAGGAACGCTGCGGCACGTCTGCACAGCGGGCTTGTTATGCCTGCCCTACATTCCTCCCGACGGCTGTCTGGACAGGAAGGGAACAGATTCAGAAGCCGCTTGTTTTGAAACGGGAAACATTATTCATGCTTTGAGTCTGTGCTGAATGACTTCAAATGCGTCCGTCCTTCACCCTCCTTTTCTCTTTGCGCCTCCCCTGCAGTCTTCGGTGACCATCCCTTTTCAATCCCAAATCCCTGCACAATTCTGCTTATCTTCATAGGAAGGAGAAGCTCCAAAGCAAAAAGGGTTTCTAACCTCAGTGAGAAGAGGTCTCTGAGCCAGGGGACAGTCAGGGCTGGCTGGGGTAACATCGCTCACGTAGGCAGAACGGGAAAGCACGTGCAGGAGTCCTGCCGGCACCAGAGGGAAGACATCTGGAAGGCATCAACGCTCAGATCGTGTCACGCAACAACGTGGAGGGTTTGCTCAATGTTATTCTCTCCCCCTGCCTCTGTGCTTTGCTGCCAGCTACTCTCCAGTTGCCCAGGCTTTGCCTCCTCTTTAGCATCAACACCAGCCGCAGGCCACGTCTGCTACAGCCCCAAACCTTCCTACAAACTGGCTGCTTGCACCATCATCATCCCAGAATACTCCTTATGCCTGGTGCCCTCTCCTGTCTCCACCACCTTCTTCCACAATAACCCTCCTGAAGATAAATACCTCCTTGCCCTGTTCCCCTCTCCCTCAGCGCACAGTGCTTGCAGTCAGTCTTGCAGGAATACACCCCTCTGCTCTGGAGGGTATTTTCTGCCTGTTGCAGGGGTGGTCAGCAAGATCTCGATATCTGGGTGGTCAGTTCCCACCTCCAGTCTGGTCTCCGGGCATTCTTTCTCTTCACCTCCCTTCAGGCATCACAGCAAGAACCTGATCCCAGGTTTCACCTGGCATTTTGGATCTTTGGTCTGCCTCAGGAGGAGCTTGGCTCTTTCCTATGCCTGGAAAGAAAACTAGTAAAGTTGCCATGCTAACACAGCCACCAGCAGCACATGCTTAACGTTAGGCTGACTGAATTCAGTCATCAAAGGCATTCGCACCCCGCACTGCCAAGTCACCATCACGTCTTCACCCGACTTACAAGCCCACTTCGTATGCGGATCCTGAAGGAGAAAGTTTGTAGCTGGAAGTTAAACACCAAAAAGGACAAAGCAATCCATGCTCAGATGTGCTGGTAGGTCCTGTCGGCTCTTCTGCCGATTTTATCTTCCGGGGAGGAGAGATGGGCATGTCCTGTGCAGCTCTGTCAGCAATGCCAGCCATCAGTCACACAGAGGCGGACTGAAATACCAGTGTGCGCTGGCATAAACAGTCTCTTGGCTTGTCCCTAGGATGACTCAACAAAAAGCAAGCCAGAAGTTACGCAGAGCAAAAGGCCCCTGTTTATATGTTGCTTGGGGATCTGCAAGGCTAGAAGTAGTAATGGTGGAGTGCATGCAATGAGAGGCGCGCGGATAAAGCTGTCCGGGGGAAGCAGAGCAGTAACTCTCTTTATGTCCACAAGAGAAAATTGTAGTGTGAGTATTTCCACATAGACAGTGCAGTATAAAGCCAACAGGTACAGAGAAAATTGGAGGCAAATGCAACAGATGTTGAAGCTCATTCTTATTTCAAGATCTGCGGTTCAAACTGTGCAATCTGTATTTTGTCTTATTTAGTGCCTCCGTGTTTGTTCTGCATGAAAAGAAGCATGTTTGGGGGCTGCAAACTGTGTGGATTCACCTCTCAGGTCCGAGAGCTGTGACTCACCTTGATGGCAGCAAAGAATGGCGGCGGCTCTGCCCAACACCACCTCCCTCCCTCCCCCGTCACGCACCCTGACTGGTCATCACGGCTCCGCTATCAGCTTTTACAGATCCTGCAGCAGAGAAGCTGCACAACACAGCTGAGCCTCCAAACCCCTGCTGCTCTTCAGAGAGTAATGACCCTTCTCCATCTCTCCTCCCCCTGCCCACATCAGCAGCAACCTTTTACGGAGCCCATTTCACTTGTTATCTCAGCAGAAAACAATTCACTTCTTTTTTTTTTAGGGCAGGCTGTTTTCCTGCCCTAAATCACATCAGCTCCACGCAGGGTCCAGCAAATGCCTTGTGTCGTTTTGCCCCCTGAGCACAGCTCCAGAGCACTTTAGGGACATGAGCCAGGCTCTGCAGGAGTCAGACTCCCATGCGTACACATAAGACAGTTCAGGGAGTGGATGCTGCTGAAAACCAACCGAGAGGGAGAAAAGTAATTATTTTTCACTCACATCAACTTCTTGCAAAGGGGCAAGGGTGTGCAGCGAAGGGGAGAGACATGGACCTGGTCTAGCTCAGCTTAAAATGCAGCATAGTTAGAGCTGAGACTTTTCTCTCAACACCCTTTGCACTAAAGCTGTACGTGGTTCTGAGCAGATAAATCAGTTTTTCTAGAGGAATGTGTCCGTGAGGACCTTCTGGTGAGGATCCCACACCCAAAACACAGTGTCCAAAGCCAGCAAAGGGAACCTCCCTACCTTTCGGGCACACCAACCGAGACGAGGTGAACAGGAACAGGGCCAGGAGGCTGACGGGCTCCTTGGGGTCAAACCCTATGAAAGAAAGCAACGGGTTTTGTTTAGACTGAGGGTGCCCACCCTCCGTTTCTAAAACAGAGCAGGATGTTTAAGCACAGATACTAGTTACTACGTAGCCATGTCTTACCATCATCTCGTGCCAAGGCAGAGGACGTGAGGAGGATAAGGACTCCTTGATCTTGTAAATATTTGATGATTGCCTACAACAAACCCGTACAGAGTTAGAGCAACCATTCCCTTTCCTCCTTAGCACACTTTATATCAATCAGCATGACTGTCAACAAGCCCTGATTGCCGGTGAATGTGTGCCAACACCACCAGCTCATTCCCTGTTGAGAACACTGTTCGTTTCATGCCACTTGGGTCAAGTGGGACCTGTAACCAGAAACATTCCATTTATGTTGTTGTTCAGCTCTCAACTTCCTCCCACCTGGTTCCTTAAAAAATAAATATGCTTAGCCAAACTAGCTGTAATTAATGAACAAGGTTAATAATTTTAGTCCCTTCAGTTCAAAAGCATCTCAGCCAGGAATTGCTTTCCGCAGCCGCAGGGGAAGGTTTTCCCAGCAGGGAAAGAAAAGCATCTGACAAAACAAAATCTACTGTTCCAGCCACAAGCCTGACTGAAGTTCAGGCCATGCAGCTTGCTTATTAGCAGCATCAGTATCAATGAATATGCGAAAAAAAATTTGCTGAGTCTAAGCGATGCCTGCGACTCTGTCTCAGAGCTGGATGACCGCATGTCTAAAAAGATACGTGCTCTTATCGAGGCTTTTCATGTGTTTGGGTGTTGCTTGATGCCTCATCACAGAGCTTGGCTTGGACTGCCTTTACCTCCGTGGGGACACCCATTTGGATCTCTTTCTTCCATGCAGACACATCTTTTCTGGAAACCTACAGGAACTGAATAACCCTAGGGCTTCTAATGCTCTGTGAAACTTCACTGATCTCATTCACTACATTCAGACATAACAGAGGATTGGATTAACGCCCACAGCCTCATTTCTCCAGGACAACAGAACAACTTTGGAAATGCTGAACAATTTCAGTGTAATATTCACTATTCAGAACAGTAGCTCCTTGCTTTGGTTGTCTCAAGCCAGCAGAGCAGAAGGGATAAGAGCCAGCATCTCTGCTGCATAAATCCAGCTCAATGAAATAGCTGTGATTTCTCATCAACCAGACGATTTTCAGGCAGGTGATTAAGATTGTCTTTGCTAACCCCCTTTTTTCCTTCTCGTGTTGTTACCAATAAAAAGATAGTTTAATCAATACTTTAGGGAGTCCGAGTGCTTTTCTTACAGGGACCCACAACAAACACTTGCTCTGTTACGCTACATATGGGAAGCTGCACATCGGTGGGCAGCTCTTCAGCAGCGCCACACAGCAACAGCGCTTCCAGGCAGTTCATGGGCTGCTGCCAGCTTATAGTGGGGGGAGGACATGCCCAGCCAGCTGCAAGTTTGTGGCCACGAATCTACAACCCTGAATCTACAGGAAGCATCAGATGTGAGAGAGCAACTAGGAACATCAAAGCCAAACCCAACTGAATCACAAATCCCAGCAGAGATGCAGGTGCCATGCTCCACAGGGGTGAGGTTTATCCCTTGGAGTCATAAGGAGATGTGACAATCACACTGGGAACAAGACGACACCAGCGTGCTGGAAAAAAGCCCTATCAGATAATATATCACAAGGGAAATTCCCCTTTAAAATAAGGATAAATCTCAACACCTTTGGGGCTCCCAGAAGCCCATGAGGTTTTGGTGGTGTAACTGTGAGTATCTAGCTGAGCGGGAGCTATTTTTCAGCCACAAAGGAGAAAGACAGGCACGTGACAGTTTATGTCTTTTGCTTAGTAATAATCATTTTGGCATTTGAAGACTTTGCTTCTTGTTTCTTAATATATAAGATCCCCTCGCAGTCCTTATCCACCATACTGTTTGCAATGCAAGGGGGAAAATCATTAATAAAGACAATAAAATAATGTCAACTGGCGTAAACATAGCCAAAGAGGAGGTTTGCCTGGTGTAATGCCTTCTGCTCATCAGGGCACGGTCACCCTAGGAATCAGCTGCCAGCTCATAGTGGGTAATCTTCAGTTAACAGTTTATATACAGAAAGACTATGTTTGAGAATAAGAAAGCAGGAAAATAAAGCAGGCAAATTAATTCCATTTTGCATTAGTTCGGAATCTGTGCATAATGTTACCAGAAGTTTCAAGAGATCATTTAAAAGGCCACTTTCCTCCCAGAAAGACAGTATTTTAAAATACTTACCAAGTCTTTTTCCTTTAGATTTTCTACTAACTCATCCATTTTATACTGATCCTTATTCGATATTTCTACTTCATACAGACTGAAGTAAACACCCTGAAAGCAGACTGCAGACAAATAACAGAGAATTTGATGTTGAAATAGTGCCTCTTGCATGAACTCCAAGCAAACAAATGCTCTCGTACCAGGAAGATGGGTGTGCAATTGGTGGAAGCACTGGATTTAAAAAGAACTTATCAAGATTTCCTAAGTAGGTACATGTGTTCTTATCACAGTGAGCTTCCTCTTCAACCCATGGTTCACAGGAGATGTTTTCTATCTTAACTCTGCAGCTAACAAAAGCAATTTAAACAATGCTGTGTGCTTTAACAGAGCCTTTCAGAGGGAAATACCTCATTCTAATATGCCATACGCTCCTCTGCTATGGAATATCCTTATTCTGCACTCTGATCTCCAAGGGAGTTTAACAAAGGCAAGATCTTGGTCCCACATTACCTCTCCCGAATCTCGCAGCAAAATTCTTCTGTTCATGTATTTCCTCTCTTTCACCAGCTGACTGTAAGACTGTGGCTCCACAGCATCTTCATCAAGTGTTGCTGTGGCCTCCCCCGACTTCTCCTGCTTCCTTCCCTGCCCTGGCGCTATTCTGTGTCCATCTGCACTGTGAGCTGAATGCTAACCCCCAAAACAGGCTGGCTGTCAGCCAGTCCGATCAGTGCCCCGACCCAGTTCAACAGAGCTGATACACAGATGGGAGGCAACGCTGCAGCAGTCCACACTTATTTTGGTGCAAACTGACACAGAGATGCACCTGGAGCTTCTGCAAATCACATCCAGAGCTCTCCATGTGCAACCTGCGGTATCCGTGTCAATAATTGCGTGTCCACTGCATTGCATAGTCACATACAGCTATAACCTGAGGGCTGAAAGCTGCCAGGCTCACCAAAACTCTAACCTAAAAAGCAATCAGCAGTATGAACCCCAAAGTGTAATTAGACACAGGTCCCCTCCTCCCCACCCTGCACTGACCAGGACAGAGCGTGGTTGACTATAAGCAAACGGGGTCTTTTAGCACCACTAAGGGGATGGTAGAGCCTTCTCTCCCTTCCCCAAATTTGTACTTTTATTTGCTGATTGCTGAGCATTCCCTGCCTCTCCTCAAGGTTTCTGGAGTCCTCTCCTCTCTCACGCTGCCATTCACTCTCACTGTCAGTCCCCCTGAAGTGACAAGTAGCTCACCCGTAACCCAAAGCTGCTGCAGGCAGCCACATCTTTTCTGGCTTTGGCTGGCAGTTACCCCCATCCACCCAGATGCAGGAGACACTGCGTCAGACCCCAAGAGGTGGAGTGCCCCATGTAAGAATGGGAAAGTTTGTCTCCCTGCATTTGCTCTCAGTTGCACCGTGTGTGGCACCTCGCAGGATGGGAGCACAGGTCTCAAAACAGCATCTCCCACCCTGCCCTCTCTGAGAAACGGGCTGATTAAAGGGCTGCTTTGAGAAGAGGATTATATCACACCAGGAGACCACAGGAAATGTGGACAGGAAAACATCCCTGTGCTGCCTTGGCATTTTTCCTCACTTATCTACAATCTGCCACCCTTCAAGACAGGACCCAGTGCTACGCGGTCCTGAGCTCTGACACCCTCCCCAAATGCAATTCCTATGGCACAGCACAAGTAAATGTTACCCATCACACTGGCGGGTTTTGCACGCACCTTCATTCTCAATGTAATTTCTTTTCCCAAATGCAGCTTCTGGTAGCTTTTTCTTCAAGTCAGACAAACCCATGACATGGTTAACGTCCAGGTTCGGAGGCCTGTGGGGATAAAGCAGCTGAAGGTGAGATCACAAGCATAAAAGGCTCCCAGAATTAAGCATAGCAAAGAGCCCCGGTTGCCCTGTCACTGTGAAACCAGAGAAAGCAGTTCTGGAGAAGGTTGGAGAAGGCACAGCTTGCCTAGCACGTAGCCGATTTGAGGATCCTGTTTGAAAACACCTCCAAACGCTGATATTGGTGGCTGTGTTACTGGCTGTCACCAGCTGTTTCAAATTGCTGCCTGCTGGTTGGCTTCTGACTACTGAAAATTTTAAATATCTTATTTTTTTGAATGCTAGTTACCTCAATAATTTATTTGCCATCGTGCCGATCTGTAAACACAGCTGGCTGCTCGTACATGCACCATCAGGAAGCCCACTTTTCACAAGGAGAAAAATCCCAAGCAGGAATAATTGATTTGGAATAAACATCCCAAAGCAGCTAACAAAAAGAGATGACAAAGTACAGCTGTTTCCAGCTGCAGTTCAGGGCCTGATCTCATGTCATTATCCAGCTGTTGCTGTGACACTGCACTGCTGGCTGCCCAACACCACTTTCCTGACACTGATGCTTGCTCCGATGGTGCAGGCGGAAAGATGCAAGAAGATGCTGATCAATGAAGGGATGGGGCAGGAGAGAAAAAAATGGCTTTTGCTGTACACAGACAGCAAAAGGCGATCCCAAAACAATCCACAAGAGTGGCTGTAATGCTTCGCACTCCACCAATTGCACAGAAAGAATAGAAAAGGGCAACTTACAGCTGAGCTGGAATCGTGGAGCTGTATGGGGTCCTCAGGGCGATGTTGCACAAAAGCTGGCCCTGGATGGACAGCTGCCCCCTCCATGGACAGTACAATGCTACAGGCAAAAGGGAGAACAGCTCAGGGAAAGCAGGAGAGAAGAGGAGAACAAATAGAGAAAGGTACATTTATAAAACAAAACCAACCACCAAATGCTCCTACCTTTGTGATTAAGCTCAGGTCTAGAGAAAAGGGAGAGAAAAAGGAACATTTAGCAATGGGAAAAGGAAAAACAGCTCACAAAAGTGACCAGGAATTTTGAAACAACAGCAAGTTGCTTACAGGCTCTCTATTGCTAAGACGGGCATTTCCTTCGGCTCCCTATACTGGCAGGCGATGACTATGTACGGGCAGATCTGCCTGGGCCGCTCGGCAGTGCTGCCACCGGACACTTCATACACGTAATACTGGGGTGAGAAGGGAAACACAGATGAAAAAAACAAGGTGAGGAATGAGCGAGGCACCCAGGCCAGCGCTGTGCTCCCCTGCGGCTCACAAGTGAGCTGTCTGCACAGTCCTGTTGCAAACCTATACCTGGCTCTGCTCGAAGGCCTGGCAGTGGCTGGTCTTTGACGGTACGTTGTTTCTGCTCAAGGCGACGTGGCAGTCATAGCCGGGAGATGGGCAGGTATAGCTGGTTGTGTAATTCTCAGATACCACCTTGACCTTCCCCTGTGTCAGAAAATTTTACAAAAAAAAAATAATAAAATACACATAACCGTTCGCAGAAACTTATTTGGAAAGACCACAGTCTTTCCTTTTTTTTGTTTTTTTTTCTCCCCCCCTCCTTTTTCCCAAAGACAGCGTTGCTGGCAACCCACACTCCCCACCACTGTGAGGGGGTTGTGTGTGTTTGTGTCCTTCCAAACATGAGGGCCTGACTTGGCTGAGTCCGGCATGGCAGACAAATCTGCACTGCTCAGGAGAGCAAATGGGAGCAGCATGTTTTGGTGTCAGCTACAGAGAGCAGTAGCCAGTGGAGAGGGGAGAAAGGGGCTAACCCCATGGAGGAAAGGAATGGGGCTGTGATCTGAGACACCTTAGGGCTTCCCCCTCAAACTCCCAAAACACACAAGAGTCCAGGGAAAAAGGTAACCCCATGGGGAATTTCTGATCTCAGTGGTGGAATTTGGAAGGTCCTCTGCATCCTCTGCCGCCCTGCAGGCCACCAGTCAAGCCCAGTTGGTCTCTTGCTTTCTAACCTGACACGTCCCATAGTAAAAAATCCTGATGAGCTCTCAACAGAGCTGATTTTACACTCCACCACAGTTATGGGCAGCAATGTCTTCTTGAAAACTGCCTGCATTGCATAGTGACTTCTGAAAACCATCCCACATAAAAAGAAAAAGACTTGCATTTTACCTTAATTAGCTTACAAATGACAATATAGCCTGATTTTCCATGATACCAGGGTCTCGGATGAAGATAGTCTGCATACTTGGAAATATAAACCCCTGTGAAAACAAAGCAATGCAAGATAATGTGAATCGTCTGTTGAGTAAAGCTGATTGCAAAAAAAGACCTGTAAAGACGACACTCCTTGGGGCAATGGGAATCTCTGCAGAGTCAGTGCTGCAAATGAGAGTAGCACTGTCTGCTACAAAAACAGTGAGATTCTTTCTGACTCTTCCTTTTTTTGACTGCTGGTATGGAACAGCATTGTATGTTTCGGGGTCAGCTCTAGCAAAGGAGTTAACTTGGGTTTCTCCTGGGTAGCCCAGCTAACATCAGTTTTGTGCACACTATGTGAAAACATATCGAGCAAGGGCTTGTCTCTTACAGGAAGATCTGGTGAAGGGCTTTCGGGTCAGACTGCAAAGCGAGGCAGGAACTTTGTTCAATTTGAAGTCACACAAAGGCAACGTGGATGTTTATACGTGGGAACACGGACCGCAGGGGCACGGGAGCAGGCCCATGGCATGGCACAGACCATTCCAGGCTGCTTCCTTTGCTTATGTCCCTTCAGTGTCCCAGAAACCAACATAAACCTTCTACCCTGTGAGAAAGCCCACTCTGACACGGTTTATTCCCATCCCTTCTCCATGCCCAGGGCATATCACATGTTGATTTATTGTGGGGTGGGGGAGTTGGGTCTTCCCTCCTGCTTGAAGTTTGTAGACTAGATGGGTAGAGAATTACATGGGGAGGAAAAAGGGACTGGGCAGGGGAAGGGCTACGAAGAGACACACCATAATATTCATCTCAGTCCACCAGTACTAAGATATACACCCAGATAAATAACCAGTTCTCGCTTGGTTTTGCATTCACTGCCATTAACTGTTGAATAGTTAGGTGTCTTGGCCTGGCAAGACTCATTGCGTGAGCACTGGGACACATTCTGTTTCTGACAGAAGGATTTCTTTGAGTAACACATCCCACACTTCACGTCTTGAGGCCCCAGAGCTTTGGGCAATGAACAAGCACAGTCTGAAAAGGGCTTTGACATGGCAAGATCTGCTCTGGTTATTAACAAGACTGGTGGCAAAAGCTCAGCAAATGGACTCTGAAGAGCAAACCGGTGGGGAGAGCTGCCAAAAAGCCACTTTGGTGACAAAGGTTGTTATTAACAAGGGAGAAAAAGCCTGAAACAGAGAGGTGAGGAGACAATAACATTGCCTGGGGAATATCCCATCCTCATCTGGTTGAGGGGGTAGAAGGAAAACACTACTGCTTGCTTGATCCAAACAAATGCAGCTTCCCATGTAGGAAACACAGGCATTTCTGTGGATCTTTGCAATAAATAACAAGGGAGTACCAGGAGTCTGTTTGGGCTTTTGCTTTTGTTTTTAAAGGAGTCAATATCCCCACAACAGTGAACAGGTCTCTTGGTCCTCTGAATGGAAATCTTACCTTTTGCTGGGTCACCAAGCATGGAAATAGAACTGCTGTTTACACGGAGGCCTGTCTGACACACCTCTTTTGCCTTCAAAAGAAGAGACAGCCTCTTTTACCATCTATTTTCAAAGATAAGGGACAAAGCTACTGAAATCTGTATCACAACAGTTGGCAAAATACTTGCAACAGGCAAATGCGCTGCAAGTCAATTATAGATCGTTACAGTCCCAGAACACCCATGGTATAAAGAAAACGAAACACAATGTCCACAGGAAGAACCAACAGGAAGCAAATTTGTTGTTTCAGACACTAAATACCTGTATTTATCAAGTGTTGTTACAAGCACTTCAGTGGAAGCAAAAGCTTAGAAAAATTTGGAAAAAATCCAGCATCTCCAGAAACCACTGCAAACACAAGGCTGGACTTCGCACTTTCTTTATCTGCATAGGCAATTTGCCGAAAAGTAAATACAACAGGGCTGGCCTGAAAGCAAAGGCTATTTGCTACTGTGTGCTTACTCCTCCATAGACACAACCACTACCTTGGGAGCATCTCACTGGCTTTGATTTAATCCACATCCAAAGCAGATTCATCAAAGTGTGCAAAGTCCAAATATATATTGACCAAAGTGTGACAACAGGAGCAGTTTGAATTCATTATGGGTGAGAAATAAAAGCAAATCAGTCAGACTGTAATCAGTCCCTTTGTAAGAAACATGGGGCACTCATCACACCTAACTTTTGCCTCCTAAAAGGCAAGTTTCTAGCTTAGACTAGCCAGCTAGACTTTTCCTCTGAACAACAGAGAGAAAGGCACCTCCAGAGAGAGATTTAGCCCAAGGATTTTAGATGCCTGCATTAAAGGAGGTACAGCTGTCCTCTGGAGAGCTCCCTCTTTCCTAGGGTCTGCACAAGGAGCTCCGTCGCTTGGGACAGACTGTGCCAAATTTCAAACAGCCCAAACGAAGCAGGACAATTCCTGAACCTGAACCATAACTGGAAGTGGTTTATTTTGCTGTAGCTCAATCCAAACGGAACAGAACTAAACTGCATACAGGCCACTGTCATCCCGAACAAAACCATCTCCACAGTGATTTAGCATGGCATCATTAAATCATGTTGAAAGTGAATTCCCACTAGATTCCCTGAGCATCCTTGCATAGACAAACTCCTGTCAAAATCAAAAGCATCCTTGTGAAACACTGGCAGGAATAACTTTCTCAATAGCTCTGTCAAGCTTGCTCTCCACCTAGCTGGCAAAACCAAAGGAATGCGCCCCAAACCACCTGGCAAACTCCTGCCTTCTGTCACAAAGGCGCTTTTCTCTTCTAAGTGTACCTGAAAGGTTTCACCTGCCTGAACTTGACCGTAAATGCACTGGGACAAAGGAAGACTCCTTCTATCTCCCTGCAGAGGACCAAGGAGGCAGCCAAATCTCAAACAGTAATTGACCAGAGATATGAAAATTAAGATCCATCACTAAAGCCTCCCAGGAGCTGCTTTCAGAACTTGCTCTGGACTATTTATATAGTAGCAATTGCACTGGTAACTGGGGTACAGAGAGCCAGGACACTTCAGTCAACAGATTTGCTGGGCTTTGGTGGGACGGAGCACATGTGCAGGCATCAAACTTCTTAAGCTGAATAATCATTTCAGGTTACCTCTTCTTCATTCTCAAACAGGAGAAATGCAAAGGTCTCCTCCAGCTCCTCCTGGCTGTACCCGGCCGCTTCCTTTGCTTGGGCAAAATCTTTAAGCTGCAGAAGACACAACGCTTTGGTTTAGTCTGTTCATGCCAAAGCCAAGTGATATACGTTCATGGTGCGAGCACAGCGTGCCACAAGTACCTCCAGTCGTGGTCAGTATGGGGCAGCTGGCAGCACATCATTCCTTCCCCCAGGCACATGTACACCCAATCTCCCACCACAAGGCCCCCAATCTGTGCAGCTGTCTGCCCATCTGTCTCTGCCTTTGATCCCAGCAGAACTTGTCCAATGTCCTCCAAGGGACAGCAGACACCATCCAGCCCCGCAGTGTCATGCTGGGCTCATCCCAGGGAAGTCCAGCCTTATTCCACCTTGCCCCTCTTGCCACACATTGTTGGCTACCAGGGAGCTTGTTTCACCGAGCAGCATGCGGGCTGGTGGAGCATCACATTTAGTAGCCAACTATGACCATCAGAAAACATGGAGAAGATGCCTACAAAGGGGGGACACTTGGAGGCACCCCTCTTTTTCTCTCTCCACTGATGAGGAAAGCCTAGATTATTTGACTAGGGGGCAGGTGCTATCATGTGACTACAGCTCAAAGGGTCTGGCTACAGCTAAATAACACATTACTCCAATTTCTTTTGTCTGATAATCAAAGCAGAGCACGTTCTCTGTCCAGACAGGGAGAACATCATGGGAGCAAACAGAGCGGGGTCTGAGTCCATGGTGTTTTGGGGCTTTAATAAAAGAAGCTGTAGAAGGATGGGATTTTTTAAACAGGGTTAGAAGATAAGAAAACGATCTCATCACTGTTTTTGCTTATTTGGCTTTAGAACTCACAGGC